ACAACGGCAGCAACACACGACGGCAACTGTTGCTCTGGCGCCGGGCAACTTTATGCGGCTGTTGTTGTTGCTGTTGCACGACGCCGTTGCCGGCGCCGCAAAGTCTGCGATTTTTATCTGTGACCAGGCAACTTATCGCGCCTGTGAGCTTGCTCTTGCCACAAGCTGTCCGTTGTTGTTGCCGCTCTTCTTGGCCATGTTGTTGCCTACAAATTGTGCCCTGTCATGTGCGACTGGCTGCATTTGCATTTTAGTTGCAACAACATGTGCTGCTTGCAGTTGCCATTTGGCAACTTATCTAAGATGATTACAAGATGCATTGTTTTTATTTTTTATAGTTCAGTCAGCTATAAACTTGACAGTTGTATTTATTTAGGCAATTAATACCATTCGTTGCTTATTAAATTTAGCAAGACTTCAAACCATGAAGATGACGAACATTAAATGCACTTGCATATATTCTGAAATCCAACATTTGCGATTTGACCACCAATCAGTTAAACAGGGTAAATGTTATGTATATCGCAGTCAAACATGGCATATCTGTGATATTTACTTAAATGATTTGAATGGATCATGCTAAATCAGGCAGTCATTTCTTATTACCCATCTGTGGGAGCGATAGGATCCAGGGATCATAAATGGCTGGATCATTAATTAAAGAGGCCGCAGAGTCTATTGAAGGTCGCATTCTGACTCTTGAGTAGACTAAAATGAATCACAAGTGTTTTCTCAGCAATTCTTTTAACACTAATATGCTGTTTATTAAAAATATTTTCACTTTGCAATGTCAATTCAAACAATATTTGCAACGAACACAGCCTAAAAAAAACCTACAAAGAGTGCAGGACCCTCGAGCACTTATACTGCTTTGGCGCCATCCCCTTACGTAAAAGCAACTGGAATCTCCTATGCAGACATGGCACGTAGTCATGCAAACAGAGGTCCCAAAAGGCAGGCTCCACTTAATGCTACCAATCATTTTAATAGTGATACACATAACTACCAACAACAACACCAAGGGCACACAACCCAGCGAGTACATTTGCGACAACAGCCGCAAAATAATCAAGCCCAATCGCCTTTCACCTTTTCCCAGTGGGAGAACGAAGCGGCTCATGAGACGAAATTTGAGCAAATGATTAAAGTGATGCAAGAAAACTTTAATAAATTCTTCGAGCAGCAAAACAAACTATTTGAGATGCAGAGCCAAATAATGGCTCTACTTATCTCGGCCAACCAAAAATGAAGCTCAAAACACTAGTGTGGAACGCCAGGGGTCTGACTGGCAAAATGCTACAGCTATGTAATTTCATCACAGACAACAAGATCGACATAGCCCTAATTTGTGAAATAAAAACAACTAGCAGAAGACCTATCCAACTAAATGGATTCTGTGTATACACAGCCATTCATTCTAATGACAGAGGAGCAGGAGGAGCAGCTGTTATAATACGAAGAAATATCCAGACAATCCAAAATAAAGCTTTACGCCTAATAACTGGCTGCAGCTGGTATGTCAGTAATCTGACCCTTCACAGAGATCTGAATATTACGCTAATAGAAGATCAGATCTCTTTCTACTCCAGTCGCTATAACGAAAGACTGATAAACCACCAAAACAGATCTGCACAAGCCCTTGTCGGATCTATTCCTATAAATAGACTGAAGAAAAGACACTTCGGTCTTCTACAAAACAATTAAAAACAATTCTTAAGAAGACAGCTTAGCCTTAACCTTATGTAGAGCAGGAGAAAATAAACTAAGAAACAAACATTGTTAAATGCAAATTTTGAAGCATGTACATGTTTAAAAACTCATATTATCTGTTAATATAATAAAGATTTTCATAATAAAAAAAAAAAAAAAAAAAAAACTTTGCAATGTCGAATCATGATTCAGCGTATTACACTTAAAATCAGAGTAGTATTCCAGTCGCTAGAAAAACTCTCTTCAGATGTCAAGGTCTTGTACGAAATTAAATGGAACTATTATATATCCATAATCATCCACTCCGCATGGAAATATATAATTTTATAAATTTAAGTTTGAGTTTTTTTTGTGATTCCATAAATATTTCGCTCCTTGCCATGGATATGAAAGGCAGCGTTAAGTGAGTTAAGATGACGACAATTGTTTGTTGGTTTTTAGCCGGGTTAACAAGTTAATAATTTATTTGCGTCTGCCTGGCTTTGTCACGTGTGTCAGGGGCATGTCAGTTGGGAAGAGAACCGCCCGTTCTCGGCGAATTCGGAACTGGAGGCTATTTTATTATTTGCATGCTTCATCCACATGATTTGCATGCGTGGCAACTCTGAATGTCTTCGGTGTCGCCGCGTGGCGTCGCGTCTACTGCAACGTCTGCGGCGCATAAACATGTCATATTATTTTTACTGCCCGCTAAAAGCCAGGGCCAAGAGGCCAGCCAGCCATGGCCAGTGCTGGCATTCGGACTGCGCACTTGATACTCGTATTTTTATGATGATGCGTCATGAATGAGCAACAGGAGCAAAGCAACAAAAAATACAAATGCAAAGTAAGTGGCACACAAATATTTGAAAAGATTTCAGTAGCAGGGGAGGGTTGGGGCATGGCGTCAGCTTATCAATGCAAAACAGACGCTGGGCATAAGCCAGCGACCGGCTTTCAGCTTCCACTTCATATTCAAAATCACGCCCCCGGCATCTCTTCTATTTGCGGCACTGCTGCATTGTCCACGGCGCGTTGAAGCAACCCTTGAGGGATTAAATTTCAACAGTTTTGCCGCGCGTTGCGCATTCTTGGCCAGCACTTAGCCAGTTTCAATGCTGCACCACCCACCCATACGCCAGCCACGCCCCAATAAACCCAACCCAACCAAGTGCTTTAAAAGCTGCTGCAGCTTTTCCACTGCCGACTTTTCAGCGCTCATTCAACTGGCTGTCCTTTCCGTCTGGGATTGAAAATGGGAAAATGGGTCTGGCGGGCTGGCATTCAGTTAATGAATGTAATCGCCATAAGCTGCCTTGTTCTTCGAAGATGTGGGCAGGGGAGTATAGACGAGTATTTTCCGAGCTCTAATGAGAGCTGGCTGTCTACAAAATATTTCCTTGTAATTGGGTTCCTGAAAATTTGTTTTTCTTCTCTTAATATTTTTTTTTCTTTCTCGAAATTATAAAAGCGTGGAATATGCATTTATTATTAAAAACACTTTTATGGTAGAGCTAATGAAATGAAGCTGTTTGGAGAGCATTAAATGTGGGGATTATGCTTAAAGAAATTTAATTAGCAAAGGGCTAAGGTTAAGGCAAGTAAATTAATAGTGCGTAATGGAAGAAATTTCCGTTTACTGTGACTGAAATTTATTTAAGTTAGAAAATGTATTTCGATTTGAGTTATATATATTTAAAATATACATTTTTAAATTTAACAATTTTGCTAGGCACTATGGAAATTCATTGCAATAAATATAATACAAGGAAATTAAATTACTTTATTCAGACATGTTGGATCACAAAAGCAAAGCATTATAAACATTCATCATAAATTTATATTGTTTTGAATATTCATATGCATGTTAGACTTTTAGAAGAATTCCAAACCAGAAAGCTGTATCTTAAGGCAGTTTCACTGCATTTGTTTGAGTGAAATTATGTTTGTTTTTCTTCAATTTAAAACTCTCGTTAGAATACCAAGCATTGAATGGGAATTATACACCAACTAAGCTGACTGTGCATTTACATGTTTTTAAAGAAAATAATAAAAATATTTACCTTTAACTTAAGGGCATTCAGTTTTCTGAGAAATAAAAACGTACATTTAATGAGCCCGAGTAAGCAGCTGAGAAAATGAAAGTTAATTAAAATAAATGTAAGAAAAACAAATATGTTATGAAAATGTAAATAGCCTCAGCTTAAGATGTACCTTATTTAAATGAATTCCAACCAAAAAACATTTTAATAACATTTTGCAAACTCTTTATTGCCATTTGCAAACGCCGTTCGCAGCAAAAGAGCAGACGATGGGGCAAAGCAAATAGAAAAGCGACGAAAGGCAAATAGAATAAAATAATCAACAAACAAAATGCAACAAATAAGGTAATGAGTATACGCCGCGTCTGACAAAACAAGATAGAGCTGTCACAAGGAGGGGGTTACGATGGTAAGCAAGGAGTGTGCTGTTCTCTTCTGTTGTTGTGTATGTAGAAAAGTGAAAAGCATGTAAATGCTCCAGGCAAGCATTAAGGGGAGGGGCGTAGCCAAGCTGAAACGAAGAGGGTCGCCTGGCAAACACTTGAGCAGCTGGACAATGTATTTGGGCTCGTCGTGTTGCAGGAAGCTGAATTAATTGTGCTGAGCTGGCGTCACGCAGGGCAGGGCACACGTCTCAATGCCAAATAGGCCGCGGGGCAACACGAAGCAGCAGCGGGCATGAACAAAACATGCGACATGCCTCATTACCAAGAGCAGGAACAGGAACAGGAAACGGGTGCTGCAGCCAAAGCAGTTTTAATGCTAATGAATTGAAATTGTTAAGCAACGGCTGGGCAACGCGGCGTATGGGCAATTTAATTGTTGAAAATGAAAATTGAGACCAAAATGTTGTTGTCGCATGTCAATGTCAAGTGCAATTGTTGCAGCCGCCACACCGCAACAGCAACAATGTCTCTTTGCTGTGGAATAAAACAGCGAATGAGGTTTTGTACTATTGCGGAATTTTATCATTTGGGGCCCATTCGGAAGGGGAATTGTGTTTGTTGCCCGCTGGGCATGTAATTCATTTTCTGTGTGCTAGTCCTTGACTTTGACACGAGTTGAAAACTATAAAAAATATGTGTATATGTGTGTATACTTAGTATATAAAAAAGCGCCGCCGCAGGCGTGACTAAAGTCCGCCGCATGGCACTTCATAAAAAAGCCGTAAAATTTTACGACTCTTACTACACTCCATTGCATTTTCTTCCATTTATTTTTTTGCTCGTCTCTGATGTCATTTCTTTATATTTTTTCCACAATTTTCAGACCGAACTCTCGCACAATCTGCAACAATTGTCGGAGAAGGCACGTTCCACAACCGAATTCATACAGCGGCTCAAAGGCATGAGCGACAAAGTAACGGTAAGTTGAAAAAAAAACTGCGGAGAAGTGGAAATATTTTTAAAAAAAATGAAAATAAAAATGTTTTTTATTTTAATTATTTGCGCGCAGGAATCCTGCATTGAGTTCGAGCGTCTGGTGCACGCCCAGTGCGAGGCGCTCATCCAGGCCATACACGACCGACGCGAATATCTGCTGGAGGCCATACGCATGGACAAGGATACCAAAATCAGAATACTTAAGGTTCGTGTATATGCCACTGCGCACAATTCTTGCCATTTGTTCTTACAAGTATCCTTGACCCTTTGCAGGATCAGCAATCGAATTGCACGGGCAAATTACAACAGACCACGGGACTCATTCAGTTTTGCATTGAGGCATTGAAAGAGACTGACAGCGCAGCCTTTCTCCAGGTGTGTAGCCCAATTGGAATTAATCAGAATATTTTCATGTACCTATATTATATTTTCATTTGCACTGCAGGTTGGCTCCATGCTAATCAATCGCGTGGCCAACACGGATATGACCTGGCACCAGGAGGTCACCAATGCCGCGCCCCGTGTCTCGCCCATTGTCGACTTGACCCTGGACGATGCTGCCCTCACTCGGGCCATAGACAATTTGAATTTCATACAAATGAAAGGTGCGTAAATAAATATGATATGAATAGATTCGTATTTTGAAAAAGTTCAAATTACTTTTCAAAATTTGCTTAAGTAAAAATTTGTTGCAAGTAAATAATCCAAGAGTTGATACTAATAAGATTAGAATTGAGAGACAATCGCGCAATGTGTATTACTAATTATAGACTACAAATATTCATGGTAGAATTCTTAAAGTTTGTGCTAGAAAATAGAGCTAACTTTAACTTTACACTTGTGAGCCAAATTCAGTGGAAAATCGAATGAGAAATTGATTATTAGCAATCGTTATCAACATGAAGTCTGCCCTTAAACTATTTGAGAATTATAATATCGCCTTGCGTGTTTTTACAGTTAATAAATAAAAGCTTAAATATAGTTTACATTTAAATATACAATTGTATATTTAAAGTACCAACAAATATGTTGAATAGTTTTAAATCAAGTCTTCACCATTAATGTCCTGAGTATCTACTTATAAGCATTTTTATAGATATAGTAGCTTCATGCTAATAATTGGCAAGAAGACAGTAAGACTCGTGAAAATTTTGATACGTATTTAACAAAATACCAATTAAATTCTAAATGTTAAAATCTCAGGCTTTTATGCTTGTAGCTACCTCTAATTGCCAAGCATGAAATTACATTTAAATATAACATAATATTAAATACTTGAATTTTAATCAGGAAATGTTATAAATGTGCAGAGAAAAATGTTTTTAAGAAAAATAATTGTCGTCTGCAGACTTTGAAATTGTCTCACAGTTATATGAGAACTTTAAATGAACAGTCTTCTAGAAAGTTCTTCAAAACACAAACGTTTTAAATTTCAAAGTTAAATAATATGCAAGTCCCTAAATTAATTTAAATTGCAGTTGCTCTGACTGCACTTAAGAAACTCATGACCGCAGTTTAACTTTAGAGCTCAATGAATTCCAAAAGCAAAATATCTCCAACCCCTTTTGGTATAAATTAAAGGCCACAAATAGTATTGCTTAGCCAGACCGTATCATAAATATTGTTACTAATTGTCACATTGTTAGGTTAGTTTGCTGCACACAAGAACATGTAAATATAAACACACTCACACCTTTAAACACACTCACAATATGCACACACACTCTCACTCGCACTCTCTTGCCGTACTCGAAAGTGTTAAAACAATAGAGAGCACTCATTAAGTGCCATTGAGAAGTGCGCACCAGAGACTCGTGTAAAAATAGTTGAGATAGTTAAGGGTATTCCCTCGAGGAAATGCCAACCGCACTCCTTGCGTATTGTGTTTTAAATATAGAAAACGTGCTATAGATGTGGAAGGCGGGGAGAAAGTGTAGAGTGTGAAGTGAAACGAATCGCAGTTCTGCTTCTTTAGTCTGACAAATTTCCAATGAAAGGGCCACCCACACACTCACAGACACGCACACGCACACCGAAAATAACAAAATGCTATTAAAACGAAAGTGTTGAAACTTGAGACTTTTGCTCCTGTTGATTGTCTCTAATTTACGAGCATATAATAAAATTGCTATAATAATATTATAAATATAAAATATATGATATATGATACAGCTTATAGAGTATATATTTATGTATATGGATATGTTTTAAATGTCTTAACTTTTTGTGCTTCTCTTTTATCTCGCGCCTGCTGAACACATTACACAACATTTGTATGTGCTGCTTGCTCTCATAAATATATCTTTACGTATATATATATAAAAAAAAAAACCTTAGCAGTCAAAGATGAGGATGAAAGATGTCCGGCAGGTGAGCAACTAATGCAACCAACAACAACAACAACAACAACAAACAATCTTAAACCCCAAATTTTAAACTTTTTTTTGCGTTTCATAAGAAATTCATTAAATTTTTCACCAACTTTTTTTTTGCGTTCAAACAAATATTTAATAAAAATAAATATTCAACAACTTCTTCTTCGGTGCTATAGCTATCACCCACACACACACACACACATTCTCACAAACCCACACACACACACATTGCAATTTTCATTGTCGGCCATTTTGTTTTTCATGGCTTTTGCTTTTGTTTCTCTGTGTACGCGCCTACGCATAATAATTTTCACATTTTCATTTCAACAACAACCAGAAAATGTCTGGAAAATAGGGAACAGAAAAAAATATCAAAAATATAAAATAAAATAAGAAAATGCTGTCAAAATATTTTCACTTCCGTTGCGTTCCACCGCAAACTGTCAACGGGCCTAGCTTCAAGTGACATAATTTTCTTTTTACGCACATTTATTTTATATTTTTATTATTTTCGCCTTGTGCCTGCTGTCCCTCTCGCTGCTGCCTTTATGAAGCTTTATTATTTTACGCTTTGGCTTTCACTTTTTATGTTGGTTTTTTATTTTCGGTATTTTGTGACATTTTTGCGTCCGAGTGATTCGCTTCGGGCGAGCGCTTACCGCCTGCCTTATCCTTATCCTTGGCCATATCCTTTTCACTTTTTTCTGATTGCCTTCTGCGCTCTCTAATAAATTTCAAATGCAAAACTTTTTACCTGCCTTTTTGACATTTGACAGCTTGGCGCCTTCTTAATTTGATACCCGCCTCAGCCGCCATTTTGATACGTATTTTGTGGCATACTTTGGGGCGCTACCGCATGGGGCTCTGCCTTTTCGCTCATTTGTGTTATTCGTGCCATAAATTGTTATTGTCAGTCGTTCATTTTATCGTTTTTTCTCTTGGGACGCGGCGTGGCACAATTAGAATATGTGTACATGAATAATGCGCGTATAAAGCTTTGGCAATTTAAGTGCTCAAATGGGACAGATTTTTGTTATGGGCGGGGTGCTTAAGTGCCCGCTTCTTATGTTAATCATTGCTTTTAACTCTTTACATCTCTTTCAAATTTGAACAGCTCTGTTTGACTGAGCTTCTTTAGAGGGGGCTTACAATGAAGATTTAGTTATTCATTTTAAATAATAATGTTTGTAAATGAATTTGCTAACGTGTAGGCATTAAAATATGTTCTTGCCAGCTTTCGTTCATAAATCATTTCATATTTGTGGTTGTCCTGTTTTGTTCAAACTGAATTTTACTAATTTATGTTAATAGCCGTATAGAGTTAAAATAGTTTTGTGGAACAAAGACTTTAGTTTTAAGTTTATCTTTACGTTTCGTTCCTGTTTATTTAATCGTTTTCCATTGCGTACTTAACTAATGCCAAATACTAACTATTTGCTTGTTTTCGTTGGAAGTTTATTTTCCTAAGATTTACTTGTGACATTAACTTGAAATATAATTTGTCTACTAACAGACACAGACACACACACAGAAAGCACACAGTTGTTTATCAATATAGTTAATATCTAACTGACCCCTCTGTGACCCCTTACACACACAGCACCCTCGACACCCACCATATTACCAACGGATTGTTCGGCGGAGAACAATTCAGTTACCGTTGCGTGGCAGCCACCGAATCATTGCTTTGTCGAGGGCTATGTCCTGGAGCTGGACGATGGCAGCGGCGGCGAGTTTCGGGTGAGTGCTTGAGTCATTTTTGAATCGAATCGAATGCAAGTGCAACTTTAATGTGTATTCAACAATCGACATTTGCAGGAAGTTTACTGCGGCAAGGAAACAATTTGCACCGTTGACGGTCTCCACTTCAATTCCATGTACAATGCCCGCGTGAAGGCCTTCAACAGTGCCGGCGAGGGTGAATACTCCGAGCTGATTGGACTTCAAACAGCGGAAGGTGAGTGGCGAGTGCCGAATGCCGAGTGCCTACCCGATTCCCTCCAATCTCCCCTTATCACTTATTCGCACTATCCGTACTAGCTTTTTCAATTAAACTCTCAGCTTCAAGCTATCGCCAGCTAGTTCCTCGGAACCTGGTGCTGTTTCTGTTTTCAGCTACTTTGCCAACTCTTTTATAATTTAATCCTTTTCGGTCATGCGCCGAACCCCGTCACGTGCCTTCTACATGCCCGTCCCGGCCCACTCTCTCCCTCTCTCTCCTGCTCCCACTCGTGGCACCATCTAGTTTTTTGCTTCCCGTCTGTCGTGCTTTGCATGTCAAACAGCCATTGACCCCTTTTGCGCCTGCCGGCCAGAGGCGGCTCCATTCGCAATCCAATTCTCACTTGATTGATGCATGCGCCACCTGACACACACCCGTTGCCCCGCCCAGGTCCTCCTCGCAACCGCACTGCAAATGAAACTCTGACGCTTCAAGTTATTTAATTTATAAAATTGCTAGCGCATTCCTGGCCATGTCCTGGCTTCTGTTCTATCCTGTCGTTTTATTAGTTGCTCCGTGTTAATTTGCAACTTTTAATTGATTATTGCTTGAGGGGCGCTCGCCAACCCTTGGTAGGGCGTAACGAGGGGCTCAAACTAAGACGTTGGGCGGCTAATGGAAATTGTTATTTTATAAAGTGTTTACATTGGGCGCTCACGCCTAAGTAATTAACGGTTAACCGTTGACGGTTAATGACACGTAACGCTTTTTGCGGGGCCATATCTAAATTGGTAATGGGTTGGGTCTGGTAATTGAGCCGGGTCAGAGCACTGCCAGCACATTGAACACAAACTAATTCACGTGAAAGGGTGAGAGAAATACGACACAAGTATAGAATTTATAATTCCTTTACTAATATGAACTCGTCATGGTATATGATAAAATATATTCTATGATATTTTTGCTCTTGAACTCTTGAAAAACCACGAGATTTTTAATGGATTTTTTGATTAAAAGTGTTGGAGCTATGGAAACTATTTCTTATTTGTAGGTTCATCAAATTTAAAGAGTTAGAACATGGTTAAAATAAATATGTTAAACTAAAAAACTTAAAAATTGTCTTTTAAAAAGACTGTAATGCGCCAACAAAAGGAGTAATTAAAAAAAGAAAAACATTTTCCTCAAAAACTATTACTAGTTCCTAAATAAATAACAAATAATATAAATAATACACTTGAATTATCCGAAGCAATATTGAATATATGATAATTGCTTTTGTAAGCCTGTCAAGTATAAAAACAAGTAAGTGCAATTCTCAACAAGTTAAAGCTTGGAAGAGAGGAAAGGCACGAGTCGATAGCAAAGTCTGCTGGTGATAGAACCGGGAGGTACTTTATATAGCTCTAAAGATGGTTATTATTTATGTTAACAAAAAGTAAACGTACACCTCGAGTCAGCCAGCTTTATATGGGAATTTAAAAAAATATATATATTTATTAGGGAGGAGCTTTACTTACTTGCAATACATAAAGCTAATTAAGCTCTGGTAAAGTAAATTTTATTAACCTAACTTCAGTCTCAATTTAATACTAATCCTATTTAGATTTGACTTATTTGTTTTCGATAAATGGCTTGTTATTAACGCAAAATCATATTCCGGCATAAACAAAGCCAAACAATAAACTTCTAGTCTGTTGTGGCTAGAAGCTTTGTGGCTGCTTTTGGCCACACAATTGCCTTTCGTGGATAATAAAAAGCGCAGCCAGCCAGCCAGCCAGTCATTGGCAAAGGCAGGCAGCGCTGCAAGCCGCATAGTCATCATCGTCAACATCACAAACAACAACATTCTCCCCCCTCACTGCGACTCCAGTTGGCTCAGCTGCCTTAGTTAGCTTTAGTGGCATTCCCTAAGCGACTTGGCTTTGGCCACTTAATGCGCCACAACAATAAAAGTAAATTTAATAAAGTACTCGGACTCCGGCGCTGCTCGTGGCATACTTTGCGGCGCATAACAGCATAAACTATCGGGCATCGACCATTGCAATGGAGCCGAGTGCTGCAACTGAAGCCACTCTGTTGGTCAGCACCAACCCCCAGCCCTCGGCCATCAGCTAGTGGCCACTTGCCACTCGCCGAGGCCACTTGAGCTTTGACAATAGAGAGAATTGCAGGCTCAGGCTGCACAGTGGCGCGAGCATGGGCAAAAATGCTTCAAATTCAGTTGAAGTTACATTTTTATAACATTTTAAAAAAAGTAAATTATTTTAAATTGAATTCAATGATTTATATATTACCATCTCTTATAAGGTATATCTTACAAAAATGTGAATACACTTCCATTTTCTATTAACTATAATTAACCTGAGTCTGAATCTGATTATACATAGGTTTTTCTAAAATATTTTTATTGCATATAGTTTTTCTATCCATGGCAAACTATTTTAAAATTTAACGAAAATTTTTAGCAAATCTTAAACCACTGTGCATTACTTTTCACTTCTGTTGGTGTAAATTTGCCTGTTTTATTTTTCCCTGCCAGCTTGCGTCACTGTGCAGCATGCTAGTCTGTCGCTGCACCAGTCCTGGTCCATTTTCCATTGCAGCTGCCCACCTTGGAGACTCAGTTTTTTTTGTCTGCTACTTCAATATTCGCTTATTTTCCATTATATTATTGTGGTTGTCGCTTCTCTTTTGCAGTGGCCTGGTTCACGTTTGATCCCGTGCTGAGCGGCGGCGCCGGCTCTGGACTAATCTTTAGCAAAAATAATGCCACTGTCTCTGTGGAGGGCTGGGAGCATCGTGTGGCCCTCGGATCTGTGGGCTTCTCGCGCGGCGTTCACTACTGGGAATTCACCATTGACAACTATACGGCGGACACGGATCCGGCTTTCGGTGTGGCCCGCATCGATGTGGCCAGGAACAAAATGTTGGGTAAGTACAGAAACGGGGACGGTTACTGTCGGCATTTGAAATTCAATTAAGATGGGACTCCCCACTCGAGGCGAAAGAAACCACTTGAAAAGCTTTCAAGAACTTTGCGCGCCCAAAACAAAAGAAACTGCTCAAATGCAACTGAAATCGGTACAACAAATAGATTTGCAGCGCCACCTAGCGATGACAAAAGGCCAATCGTATGCACAAAACTTTTCAGCTAATAAGTGACTGGGGCGCGACGTGTAAGCGAAGGGGGGCGGGTGGCAACACTCGCAAGCGCTGCGGCAGCAAAACTTTCCCATTGCGCGACCCGGCCAATATAATGGCAAATGGAAGGCGTCATTTCGATTGGTGGGCGTGACCAAGAAACTTTTGCCATTTCTTGTTGCGTATGCGTGAAACTTTTTGCCAAAAAGTTTCAGTTGCCAAGCATCTAAAGCCGTCCCCGTAGGTAGGTGCCAACAAACACAAACAAAAGGCGTGCGGAGGCGCCTGAAAGCAAATTGATTGAAAATGCGTTTTGGTTGAGGGCATATGTACTTGATAAAAGGATCGGGGCGGTGCGGATGCCGTGGCCGGGAATGGGTTATGGGATTGTTAGACAGACAAAAGTAATTAAAAGTGCGACACTTCAAGTTTGCGCGTGACAAAACTTTATTTGTGGATTCCCATTTCTGTTTAAATTATTCCAGGGAATGCCTGCAAACTCTCCATTTATATTTAAAGCTTCGCACGCGCCATTAAGCATGTGCACTCCCTCTCAAACCTGCGTCCCGTTCTCTCGCTGTGGGGACTGCAACGCGCAAGTTTTTAAATTAAATTTTCATATGCAAAAACGCCTCAGCTCCGATGCTGGAAAATAAAATGCGCAACTTTTGCGCAGGTGGCGCCCCCAAGCGGCTGACATTGACACTAACAATGCAGTTTTGCCAAGTTATTTTACGAGTTGTTTTTGTTGTTGCAGCTGTCATTTAAAATATTAGAAAAGTGAGGGAAAACCTGACAATGAAATGGAAAATGCGATTTGGCAGGGGACTTGCACATGAAGCCATAAAAGATAAATATAGAGAGAAAGAGTTGAGCGAAAATGAACTTAAAGTTCTTCTAAAGAATCCATTTAAATTCCCATTTCGAAGTTCGATATAAATAACAAAGCAGAGTTCAAAAATATGTTTTAATGCTCAACTTAGCAAATTTATCTACAAAAATATAGCGATTCTTAACGATTCCGTGATCTAAAATAAACTCGATCTGTTCGTGCACTACGAGGACCTACAGTTCTCTTCCTGCTTGTAAATGAAATTATATTCCCTCTAGGAACAGAATAATTCGAAAATAACTCCGAAATTTAATCCGCAAATGTTTTCGTTCTGAGTGGACACCAGTTGTATATACGTGAAACTTCGAGAGCATACCCTGGCATATTTTATAAATTGACCCAATATTATCTGCCAACTAATTTCAGGCAAAGATGAGAAATCCTTTGCCATGTACATCGATCGGCAGCGCTCCTGGTTCCAGCACAATTCCATACACGAGCGCCGCGTCGAGGGCGGCATCACCACGGGCAGCACAATTGGCGTGCTTCTGGATCTAGAGCGGCACACGCTCAGTTTTCTGGTGAACGAGATGCCACAGGGCTCAGTGGCCTTCCGGGATCTATATGGTGTTTTCTATCCGGCGGTGAGCATCAATCGTGGCGTCACCTTAACCATGCACACGGCATTGGATGCGCCAAAAATGGATTATTTTTAAAGTGTTTGTTGGGTGGGGGAGTAGTGAATTGTGTAAATATTGCTTGGCATTTAGCAGTTATCGGTGTCTATATACATACATATATACTTATATATACTACCCATAGCCAATAGCATAATCTATTAAAACATAAAACACTTACTTACATACTTATGCTTATATCTGTAGTCTCGGGCAAAGTTTAGCGACATATCTACAAACTATTCGTATCTATTCAAAACTCTAGGCAATGTTTCTAAAACGCTGCAAAAAACCAAAAAAAAAAAAAAAAAAACGAAAATTTACTAATTAAACTGCGTTGCTTAAATCAAATAATTATTAAAAATAATTGAAAATGAAATTACATGTAAAATAAGATAAAAATAACAAAAATACAAGTTATAAATGTTTTTTTGCAACACACGAAGCCAAAAATTAAGCACCGTGCAAAAAAAAAAACCAAAACAACCAAAACGAACATGAGAGAAAAAATAAATTAAATTTAAATGCTTCAATTTAAAAATCATATAAACCCAAATAAACACACTAAAAATCCATTAGCCATTAGTGTAGCTCTGAAATCGCATATGTGTGTATCTATGTGTCAGTGTTTACCAAGTTTTTGCGTGTTAAATTGCAAGCCAAAAATTATGATAAAATATCAAAAAAAACAAAAAATGCAGCAAAACAAACAAAAATAAACAAATTTTGCTTGGCGCAAATAAACTTAAATCAAAATAAAATACCACAAATTGTGGGTCTGGTGAAATAAATGAGATTGCCACGCCCATAAGTATTTAGTGTTAAGACTGAATGCACGTTTTACAAGCTATTTGAATGCTGACTAAAATCAAAGAAAATAAAAATACAAATATTTTAAATCTTTCACACAAAGTTCTCAATGTTAAGTGTGCAATTTTTCAAAATACTTCAAAAAATACACGTAACATTTGCTGGAACCCAATCAAAAAAAAAGAAAAACAAAAAAAAACGTATTTATACAAAGAAAAACACACATTTCAAAGCTAATTTTGTTTGCCTAAGAACGAAATTAAATTTGCATTTATCTATAAATATTAATTAACATACTTATTATTAAGTTTCGTGTAAATATCAGCATACTGTATTTGATATATATGTATTTTTCATTTAATGTAATTACTTAAACATGGGCTATAAATGTTCTTTTTTTTTGTGAGAATCCACAATCTATCTACATTAATATTTGCTAGTTTTACATGTGTAATATTTAAATTTAAACCCTATGTACGGCATTATTTATACTTTTAACTTTAAGTCCGCAAACAAAACTAAAAAGCAGCAACAATTAACGTAAAATTAAAATCACTATGCATGTTTAATATTTATAATTGTAATGATAACAACTACTTACACAATAATAAAAATAAAACAAAACATTATAAAGCAAACAAACAGAAAAAATACGGAATATTTTAATGGCATTAAAAACAACAGGCACGCAGACCAGTAAATGGGTTTATTTATAAAGTCATATGAAAAACAAATAATAAATATTAAAATTGCATATGCAAATTTATTTTAAAATGTTTTTGATTCAGTAAGTTTCTGTATTGATGAGGCGTTAAATTTGGTGAGGATCATTTAAAATTTGCTAATTTTGGTATAAAGCATTTTTTAAATGATGAATGAAAAAAGCAATTTACAATTGATTATACATGCATACTCTACTGAATTGCTCTTGGGTAGACATAATTCCAAGTTTAATCGCTCTTTAATTTTCTTAAGCTCTGCTATTAAAATCGTTTTCTAGTTCGAATCTTATGACTAGAGAAGTTAAATACGGAGCTAGATAAATAATGTGGTAATCTAGATGCTAGTTAGAAGTAGATCTGTTGAGATTAAGAGGAAGCTCGAGAGAACTTAGATACGTAGCTAGATAAATAACGTGGAATATTACAAAAAATTCTAGATGATAGTTAGAAGTGAATCTGTAGAGACAAAGAGGAAGCTCGGAAGGGTTAACTCAAAGGCAAGCTCGCTAAGCTAAGAATGCATAATGGAAAGTAAAGAGACAGATACAGTTTAAGAAACTACAAACTTAATGCTAAGGCTTCATACTAGATGCCTGGCAATAAGGAAGCCAACAAAGGAGCTGTTTGGCTAGGCAAAATAAAAGCTGTAGTTGGCAGTGTTGACTTGCTAAATTCTTATTACTTATTATTTATTATTATCATAAACATTTTTAAAATATTATAAAGTGAGCTGTTAGTTAAAAATAGCCACTCCCAATTTAAACGATTTACAATTGCATATCCATATTTAACTTTAATATACTCAAGAATTTTCGGACATCAATCTGTTAAATTGAGTTGCTAGTTTATAAATAACTCGGTCAAAGTTAAACTAAAGCGCTTTTTTGTATTTGGAGATGGATTTCGTACTGTTATTAATATGGATACTTTATGTGGAACTAAAGTAGCAACTCCGACAAACACGTGCCACATCCGCAACAAGCGCAACAACAACAACAATAACAGCGCAACTGAGAATGTTTGGGGAATTTGTGAACGCAACGAGGCGCGAAAACATTTACTCAACACTTAGCGTCAGTTGGCAGCTTGGGATGTTGCAAGTTTCCGAGTTGCATGGCGCAAGGGGCAGCTGCGGGCTGCTTTGTTGGTATCCTTGCGGGCGACGTGAGGCGAAAGTTTTATGATTTATGAAGCGAACGAGCAATGGTAAAAAGCAGCTGTTGCCCTCTAAAGCTCGCCCCGCACCTCAGCTGCCTGGCCCTTAGTTGCGGCCTGCGTCTCGGACGCAACATGGCTGACGACGAAGCGACGGAAGCGGATGTGGCCGACACCCCAGAGTTGCTCTGGGGCTGTTGCGCGATGGCAGCTCAGCGCCTGCTGCAAGTTGATATGGATGCCAACCCGGATATAAAAATTGCACTTTGATGCGTTTCCCCCAGACCAACAACCACACACACACACACATGCACAGATAGCGCACAACAACTAAAATAGCAAACAATGCAAAGCCAAAATAATAAAAGTTGTCTCGCGGTTTTTAGCGCTGTGCTCATTAAAATTTCGCTTAGAGCGAAAGTTTTTGTATGCACAATGCAACACACACACAACAACAATAGAAACACACACACACACTTGTGGCAGGCAAACAAAATGTCGGCCTTTGCATTTGACACATGCAGCTTTCGAAGCGTTTTGTATTTCGCAGTTGTTGTTGTTGTTGCAATTGTTGTCGTTTTTATTCGCGGGCTAGAGTTAAGTGTGTAATTTATAAAAGTGTCTCAGCCAGGGGGCGTGGCAGCGGGCGTGCTCAGCGTAAATGAAATGCCAAAACAACAGCAGAAATTGCGCATTGTTGGCGACACATTTCTCGCTTGAGCCGACTGTTGTCGGCACACATCAACAGCAACAACAACATCAACAAATACAACTACAACAACGATAAGAACAGGAATTAGAACAATAAACCGTCGACACATTCAGAAATTGGCACAATGAACTTTCACCTGCGTGAAGTTTTAAGCTAATGGGCAAAAATCCCGAAGACGGTGAAAGTTGAATTGCGAATCCACAAATGGTTGCATGAAAAATGCCAAGGATGTGGACTAGAAGGGTGTCAGCAACAGTGACTGGAAACAGTGGGATATATGAGAGTCAAGTAAGTACAGTTAACTATACAAATTCCAGATGTAAAACTAACTAACTACTATCAGAGAGCGGCAGCAGCAAAGCATGTGTAATGGGGTCGGACCCTTCACAGTAGAAATATAACCTGAGAAAGGCAATATTTGGCTATAAATCTTAAAGACACTGTACATTAAAGAATGTTAGTTCAAAAGATACCCTAGGAAATGGATATATTGAGTAGGTTAATGAATATCTTGTGCAACAAACATGGAGCGGATTTGAATATACTGGATAACATAAAACATATAAATGGATAAATGGAATTCACTTTTATGTACGTATGAACGGACAAAAGCATATATGTAAAAATATCGTATGTAGATATAAATGTACAACTGTATGTATGCATGTATGCATGTATGTATGTATATATGTATGTATGTATGTATGTATGTATGTATGCATGTATCTATGTATGTATGTGTGTATGTATGTATGTATGTATGTATGTATGTGTGTATGTATGTATGCATGCATGTGTGTATGTATGTATACATGCGTGTGTGTATTTATGTATGTAAGTATGTACGTACGTAGTTATACATGTATGTGTATATGTATGTATGTATGCATTATTGCATATATATGTATGCATGTATAAGTATATACACGCAGACTATGATTACTTTTAGCTGTAGTGCAAATTTAAATAATAAACGTATTTTTAAATGATGTCCTTCTATGCGATTCTCATGAATTTAAGTAAGGTCCACTAGTTGTGGCAACAAATTCAGTTTGTGCTTGTTCATAATGTTTAAGTTTTGTTCGGTATACAACTCTCTCTCTTACGCTCTCCTACACTTTATCTCTCTTTTACACTAGATCTATCGCCCTCAGTCTCTCTCGCTCTCTCATTTAATTCATCTTGGTTTCTCTCTCGTATAGCGATTTATACAGAATAAAAGATAATGCCCTACTAAAAGACGGCAAAAAAATACAAGAATGTTTGTGACTTGTGACTTGTGACTCAGGGCAATTAGGACTTGGGCGAGTGCATATTTATACACACGTGTGGACTTATTAAAGTTGAAACAAATAGCTCCAACTAAGTATAAAATCAATTGAACGAGTTGAAAGTGTGTACAATTTGCCAGCTAAATATATTTATGTTCCCAATAACTCACATAGCCCAACACCCATAACCAATTTATCGTGACTCGTGTTCCGTAGAATCCTCCACCTCATCTTCCGCATCCTCCACCTCCTGCACTGTTTCTGCCGTGCTGGTGGTCTCCTCTATATATTCCGTGGTTAGCTGTGTGCCATTCTGTGGACCGCCCGCTTCCCAGAGCCGCATCACTTGAAGCATGCGGTGATGTGCCAGGCGCCTGGCGCTGATCCCCCAGACCATGTCCATGTGATTCCATTTCTTGTTGGGATACATGTGATCCTCCACGACATTGGGCAGCCGCTTGATCAGACGCTTAACGTCCTCAACAGCCGAAAGGTAATCATTCTGGGCATAGTACAAAGCAATCGGAGCTGTAATTCGTTCCAAAGTATAGTCCACAGGCGTTGCACGACCGTAGATGCGCTGGTTCTCCTTCGCATTATAGTCGTAGGCACAGAAGCGATCCGACAAATGCAGCTGCAGATAGTGAAGAAATTGTTTGGAATTGGCCCCTGCGGGTACATGACCAAACATCACAGGTAGCATGGTCTGAGGGGGGCAGAAAATTAGCAAATACTTAGGAGATTCGAGGTTCCATTGCCTCTACTCACCTTGTTAAGCTCCGCAGTATCCTTGCCAATTATTTTCCATACGTAGTACATACAGGTTTGCACTGCGGCTGCCGACAGCAT